TGACCTCTCAAGCAGCTATCCATCAAACATCTTGTCCGTATACCCCTTAGCAGAATGGGGTAGAAGAGAGAAAGAATAAGCATCTCATTGAAACTACTCGCACACTTCTCATTCAGTCCCATGTTCCGTTGCGTTTTTGGGCGATGCAGTTCTTACAGCTTGTTACTTGATTAATCGGATGCCTTCATCTGCTATCCAGAATTAGATTCCACATTCAGTATTGTTCCCCAAGTCACCCTTATACTATCTTTCTCCTCGTATTTTTGGGAGTACATGTTTTGTTCACACCTTAGCTCCTCGTGCTCTTACGTCTGTCTTTCTTAGTTATCCTCGGGTACAAAAGGGGTATTGTTGCTACTCAACTGGCCTTCGTAGGTATTTTACGCCAGCCGATGTCACATTTTTTGAGTGTCAACCTTACTTTACTTCTTCTGATCATCCTAATGTATCTGAGGTCTTACCTGTACCTACTTGTGAGGAATCCACACCCATAACACCACGACAACTACTACTGCATAGGCAGACTTTTAAGGAGTCTACCGTTGTTCCTCCTACATCCCCAGCCACAAGGCCACCACTCTTGACTTATCATTATCGCCCGCGTCCAGCATCAGGTCCAAATGAGTCACGTCCTGCATCAGATACTGCACCTAGTGCGGACTTGTCTCCTCCTAGTCCACTAATTGTACTCCGTAAAGGTGTATAATCCACACTTAATCCTAATCTCCATTGTGTCGATTTAAGTTATCATCGTCTGTCATCACCTCATTATGCTTTTGTATCATCTTTGTCCATTGTTTTCATCCCTAAGTCTACAGCTGAGACACTATCTCATCCAGGATGGCGGCAGACTACGGTTCACAAGATGTCTTCTTTACATGCGAGTGGCAATTAGGAGCTTGTTCATCTTCCTTCAGGCAAGTCTATTATTGGTTGTCGTTGGGTTTATGCAGTTAAAGTCGACCCGAATGGCCAGGTTGATTGGCTTAAGGCTGGTCTTGTTGCAAAAGGAAACACTCAGATATTTGGGCTTGATTATAGTGACACTTTCTCTCCCATAGCTAAAGTAGCATATGTTCGCCTCTTTTTGTCCATGGTTGTTGTTCGTCATTGGTCTCTTTATCAGTTAGATATTAGGAATGTTTTTCTCCACGGTGATCTTGAGTAAGAAATTTATATGGAACAACCACCTGATTTTGTTGCTCGAGGGGAGTCTAGTTGTATGTTGATTGTGCAGGTCACTGTCACTCTATGGTTTGAAACAGTCTCCTAGAGCTTGGTTTGGTAAGTTCAGCACAGTTATTCAGGAGTTCAGAATGACTCGTAGTGAAGTTGATCACTCTGTGTTTTATCAGCATTCTGCTTCTAATTTGTGCATTTATCTTGTGGTTTATATTGATAATATTGTTATTACAAGCAATGATCAGGATGATATTACTAATCTGAAGCAGCATCTCTCTTAGCACTTTCAAACTAAGGATCTGGGCAGATTGAAGTATTTTCTAGGTATTGAGATCGCTCAGTCTAGCTCATATATTGTTATTTTATAGCGGAAGTATGCCTTAGACATTCTTGAGGAGACAAGAATGATAGGCTGCAGACCTGTTGACACTCCTATGGATCCGAATGCCAAGCTTCTGCAGGACATGTGAGCCTCTTAGCGGTCCTGCCAAATTAAGGAGGTTGGTTGGCAAATTGAATTACCTCACAGTGACTAGACCTGATATTTTTTTTCCTGTGAGTGTGGTAAATCAGTTTATGGATTCTCCCTGTGATAGTCATTGGGATGCAGTTGTTCGCATTCTTCCGCATATAAAGTCAGCTCCAGGCAAGGAATTACTATTCAGGGATCAAGGCCACGAGCAGTTTGTTGGGCACACCGATGCTGATTGGGTAGGATCACCTTCTAATAGATGTTGTACATCTGGATATTGTGTTCTAGTACGAGATAATTTGATCTCTTGGAAGAGCAAGAAACATAATGTAGTTGCTCGATCTAGCGCCGAAGCAGAGGAATCGATAATCAAAGAATTAAGGTGAGCATTAAAGGCAATCCCTCACTACACATAGTTGGAACTTGCAACATTAGAATGGTCAAATTTGTTCAGGAGACAGCAAAGATGATGAACTTCGTCTGAAGACAAAGATTCTCCAGAGGCAGTTTCTCTGGATGTTTCCACATTTTCTGCAATATTAGTATGACCCCTTAATGGACCTGCACGCTTTCCTTCACAATCTCTAGTTGATCTACCGTGTAGTTTCCAGCATGTCTCTTTTGTCTGCCTTGGCTTTCCACAATAATCACATTGACGTGATTGCCCTAGGTTGCTCATGAGACCCAGTTGACCCGGATTTCTCCGTTGGTGCTGAATAAAGCATGACCCCTCGTCAGCTCTCTTCTTGTTGAACATAAGAGCATGCATCCTCAAGAGAAGGAAAAGGAACTTTACCAAGAACTTAAACTCGGATTTGATCATATTCTTTGTTCAAACCGGCCAGAAAATCATAGACCTTTCCTTTCCAACCAATTGTTGAAAGAGAACTGCATCATTGGTACACTTTGCTTGGAGATCCTGATAGTAACCAATCTCTTGCCATAACCCACTTAACTCGGAATAATAATCTGTGATAGTCTACTCACCTTACTTAGTCGCATGGATTTTATTTCGAACCTCAAAGATCTGAGCATCATTTCCCTTACGAGAGTAAATGCGCCTAGCCGAATTCCAGGTCTTTTTCCGCAGTATCAAGCAATAAATATTGCTTAGAGATTCGAGGGTGCACAGTGTTCAAAAGCCATGTCATAACAAGGGAATTATAAGAATCCCATTGACCATAGTTAAGGTCGATCACCACAGGTGCTTTCTTAACCACACAACTTTCTAGACTTAATAATAATTAGACAAGATCTTGACCAAACAAGATATGTACTAGTCCCATCCAATTTAACAACACTAATTTGAGACATAGAATTATTATTTGTTTTTGTATTACCAATAGTTTGAAAAAGTCTTTAAGTCACCGGAAAAATTCTATCCGGTCGAAATTTGCCAGAACTAGAACTTGGATGAAGGGCTGGAATAGGCTTGCGACCCGAGATTTGGAATAAAATTCCGAAAAAATTCACCGAAAAGATGTAGATCTCGCCGGAAAAGTAGTCACCACACCGGAAACTCGTAAGGAGTTTGTGTTGCGGGTAGCCAGCAAGAGAGAGAAAACTCAACCTCTTTGATAAAAACAGAATTTCTGTGCTGCGAGGGAGATCACTTACCTCAAAAAGGCATCAATGGCTCTGATATCATGAAGATTTCAAGAAGAAGAATGAAATTTCTTGTATTTCGATATGTTTTTACATACAATGAGCAATAGTATTGATACAGAGGTTCCTATGGCTAATTTAGGAAAGGAAATCATTACATTTATTACACAAATCAATTAGAATAAAATCTCCTAGAATAGAATAAAATCTCCTAAAATTAAGTTTCCTACAGTCAAGCTAGTCAACAATAGCATTTGGTTTGCAGTTGCATTTGTCGGACAGATCTAGCTGTGCGTATCTATGAAGGCTGACCTAGTGCTTACAAAAATTATGAGAGTTTAGTTGATATGAAGCCTTTTCACACTTATACTCAATTGACTTCATACCAGTGTAGTCAAAGGCTCTTTTAAGGCGCGCAGCCCTGAAACTCAGAGAAGCTCAAGGAGTGCGCTTCATCTCACTTAAGCTGCGGTTTAGGACCCGTTTGGCCATAGATTTTGCCAAAATAAATTTGGGTTTTATTTGGCAAACACATGTTTGGCCATAAATTTGGCCTACATTTTGGCAAAAACCCAAAACCAGCTCATTAGCTGGTTTTCGGCCAAAATATCACTTACATTTTTTAAAAATTGCCCCAAACTTTTGTATTTTATAAAAGAGCCCACCATTTAGTATTTTGTAACAATATTGCTTCGACTTCTTGGTCATCTGATAGTATATCATGTAGTTCATTATAAAAATGATAATTTTGTACCAAATTTGTTTATATTCAGGACTATGGTTTGCAATAATATAATGAATGTTATTGATAATGGTACCGTTGGGTATTTGTGATAGTTTTTAGAACTTGTGGGTATAAGTCATGTTTTATGTTTTTCCAAAATAAATTTGGGAAATATGTTTTGAAACCTGATGACCAAACACATTTTCATCTTCAAACCAAACTTCACCCAAATCAAATTTTTCAAAACAAATTTGGAATCTATGGCCAAACGCTAGCTTAGTGTAGGCAAGGTACCACGGCATGCCCCTTATTGCCCATGAGTTCTATCTCGAATGGAGCAATCCTAGACTATAAATATAATCGGCAAATAAGTATATTAGTTGTTAAGGAAAACAATATGAATGAATTTGTTACTTTTCTCTTTAATTACATATGCTCCATCCGTGACAATTTATGTGAATCTATCTCCTTTTTTAGTCAGTGCCTAAAAGAATGACTCTTTTCCATATTTGGAAACAATTTACCTCTATGCAATGATTTATGACCACACAAAATATATGTGCCTCATTTTACACCACAAGTTCAAAGCCTTCTCTCTTTTCTTAAACTCTGTGCCCAATCAAATGGATTTACATAAATTGAAATGGAGGGAGTATATTTTTATTTTTTTCTTGCATTGCACCTTTTTTAACTAAAGCTCACACTTAAATTGCACTTTGCGCTTAAAGCCCCAACTGACCTAGAACACTTTTTAGAGCTTTTCGCCTTTGAAAACCTTGCTTCATACTAAAGTTTCAATCTTAATGTCTCATAGATCTTGATAGATTGCCTTCCAAGAATTGCAAGGAAAGTACCAGCAGTTCAGGCAGCTAGACTGTAAGCAGCTAGAATTCATGAAACAATGAATGACGATTACAATCTACATTTGCAGGTTTTATCTATTTTGGAATTAAAGGCTCTCAAGAAATTGTACAAGATATCTTCATTTTTTAACAGAAGTACAGGAAAAGCACCTACTTGTGGGTAACCCAAGCAACCAACCATAAAATTACCATCCTGCATTTAAGGTAAAATTTTATCAAAAAAACCTTGCATAAAAATAGGGAAAATCCAATCAGAAGATGGAAAATAGTTGATTATAGAAATGAAAAACGGACATTGTTAAGCATGCCGCCGTCTCATATAACCCAATTTAGCCAGTAGATGATTTCACACAACAGACAGGCTCTTGATGTAGTGATATCTACACTAACATGCTGATCTTCAAAAGGAAAATTTTAGGCCTGGTGCTTTAGTGATGGCCCTCGGGGGCGGATTTAGCGTAACTCCTACGGGTTCAATTGAACCCATAACTTTTGACGCAGTGCATAAATATATGTATAAAAATTTACTAAAATTGCAACAACACGTGGATTTAACCAGTAACTTTAAAAATATAATGGGTTCAATATTAAGAATCTTAAAGGCTGAACCCATAGAGTTTAAGTCTTGGATCCACCTCTGATGGCCCTTATGAAAAGAATGCTGACGGACTCAAGTTAATGGTATCCTAGTTCTATGAATAATCATCAAACTTCTTCTCAGCAATTAATCTGTTGTCTCCCATTAAAGGCCACATGCTGAACGAAAGAGGCACAATGGAGCTGGAGGTGGAGAAGAGACCCCAAAAAATAAGAAAGAAAGTAACTGCAAGCATTACCGGTTTTTGTCTGAGTACCATATCTGACTCTAGACAAAGTCCACATCTCCGCACGACATCTCCAACTACTTGTTGCTCGCCACCGCTGGATCTATTTGATCTGCAGAGCCACAATTCTCAAGCAATGAAAAGGATGATCCCGGCGTCAGCAAAGCAAGCAAAAGATGTACCTTTCAAAGAAGATAGCCATGGCTTCAAAGAGTTTTCCTTTGTTTGCCCTGGCCTGCAAAAAAGTTTCTCTGAGTACATAAAAAGTAAAACGAAGTACCTTGAACCTAAGGTACATGAAGCACTGTGTCTCATTCTGATTATTATCTTAGCATAGGCATCCCTTTGTCCTGTAACAAATAAGCGGTGGAACCTTTTTTCGAGCAAATGTCTAGCTATAATTATTTTTAAGATCTAAGCACTTCTGCCTTATGCCAAAATTCTTTTGGTAGGACCACCAGCAGGAGATGCTGAAGATTCTAGTAAACAGTATGATCACCATTACTAACAACATAATCTTTGGAAATCAGATAAAGACACAAGTTGATGAGATCTTGGATTCAAGCCTTGCTGTATTAGCAATAAGTGCCTCACATCCTTGTGGAAAGATGGTAGCAAACTAGGTTAGAGGCCATAGTTTTCAACAGAACTCTCCCTTCTCTAACAGCTTGAGCTACTGAAGGGACAATATAATCAAACTAGAGAAATAACATGCAGGGACCAATTTAATGGCAAGTTAGCAAACAAGTAATTTCAATAACTCATGAAATATGCAGCCATTTTATTTTGCTAGGGAGATGGAAACAAGGACTCAGTATTCTGCAAATTCATTTATACAACAGCAACTGACAGCATTTATCCAACGTGTAAGAGAGCAACTTGACACCAAATAGTGTAAAATGGAAATAATCACTGCCTCAAGCGTAAATTGACATGCTTGTAATGCTTTGTGTCATGCCATTTTTAGCTAGGAGGTTGGAAAGCCTACGAATACCCAAACCCTTAGCTTTTTGAAGAATCTTTGGACTGGAGAGACTCGAAGAGCAAGTTCTATACCAAAGAACTTGGATTAATCCACAAGATAAGAAAATTGGATAGTCTTCTACCTAAACTTCCTTAAGATTATTGAAGCGCATGAAATTGTAATGCTTATTTCTTTGGTTTTGTTTAAGCTTAACCATGATTCTTGGCTAAGCTCTAAACAAAGATTGTTATAAAACCTCATGTCTACATAAATATATTCTTGATTTCTTGCATATTTAATCTTGAGTTTTTATGTTATTTGTTTGGTTTGATTGCATATACAAGGTTAGGACTAGGCCAATTTCAGCCCTTGTAACCAAATTCGCGTGAGCCTTACTGCATTTTAGTGCAACAGGAAAGGTCAATAAAGTTAAGCTCGTTAGATGGTGGGAAGAATTGAGATTCATAGCTAATAAAAGTTGCGGAGATGAGGATGCTGAGATGGATGTGTGGTCATAGTAGGAGGCATAGGATTAGGGATGAAGATATTCAAGATAAGGTGGAAGTGGCATGTGTGGTGGGACAAGATGACGGAAGCGAGATTGAGATGGTTCGGGCACGTGAAGAGGAGAGGCACAGATGCCCTAGTGAGGAGGTGCGATAGGTTGGATATGGTGAGTCCCAGGAGAGGCAAAGGTTGGCCGAAGAAGTATTGGAAGAGGTGATCAGACAGGACATGGCACACCTTCAGCTTACTGAGGGCATGACCCTTAATAGCAGGACGTAGAGATCGAGGATTAGGATTGTAGGTTAGTAAGTAGTCGGCCGTATTTCCTTTCCAAATATGTGCTTCCTTTTATAGTTGTAGTACTAATGTTATCCTCATGTTCTCTATTTTCATATCGATATTGTTATCTAATGTTTCCTTTTCTTTGATTTCTTTTTTTTCCGGTTGTTGTTACTATTTCGCTTACCATAGTTTTTTGCCATAACTGCTATATTTTTGCTTTATTGAGCCGAGGGTCTTCGGGAAACAACCCCTCTACCTTCACAAGGTAGGGGTAAGGTCTGCGTACATACTACCCTCCCCAAACCCCACTTGTGGGAATACACTAGGTATGTTGTTGTTGAGATTCATGGCTAATAACACTAGCACAAGCAGAATTAAGCAAGGAATTAGGCAAGCATTAGGTTTGGCATAAGGGGAAGTTACAACCTTAGGTCTTTTATCACTCATTCTCTCGAGACTTCTTTTGTTTATCTTTACTTGTTTCTTCATTAAGTAACTTAAAGTTGAAAGTAGTTACTAGTTTACATATGCATTTTTAGCAATTGTTTGGCTTAGTCAGCTGGTCATAATTTCATTAGCAATCGTAGCTCCACTTTGTAGTGGGATCGATATTGGACGCACCTCTACATTATATTTGTGTCAACTTCTTACTCCTTATAGAGTATTCGCTTGGCATTACTAATTTGTCAAAAGTTAGTTTTAATAACTTGTGAAAGAATATGAGCATCCAACCAAAATCTTAAACAATGAGAGGAGGACTTCAAGACCACTACAAAACCGTTTTGGATAACTTTGTACTCTCTAACACCATTTTGCTTCTTGGACTTCCCCTGACCATGATTTTGAGTGACAAAGGGCACAGAGGGAAAGCAAGTAACCAGTGCTCTTAACAAAATGTTGCAATTCAGGGTGTTAAATTTACCCCATACCAATATATCCTGCCCAACCCAAGTCTAGGTAGAGCTAGGCATATATTTATTGGCGGGTCAATTTCGGCATAAGCTAAATTAACCCATCTAAAAGCTTGGGCCAATTTGGGTTAACCTATCATGCCCGAATTGAACCATAAGAGAACTTATCAAAACATTGAAAATAAAATTATCAATGTTTGTTTAGCTAAATATAGTCATGAGAACTCAAAAAGCTTTTGGCACTTTGATTTGACAATTAAACAAATTATAAAAGAACAAACACAGAAATAAAACAAATTGGATTATGACCCATCCTTTAGCCTAAATAAACTCGCCCTTCTTAACCCAAGCAAATTTTGGGCGGGTTATTAACACAATCCATTAATCAACTCAACTTGCTTCAACCTGCCAAATTTAGCCCAACCTGCTCATTTGAAACCCCTAGCAGCAATAATTTACGATCTGTCAAGCCTCACAACTGTGGGAAACAACCTTAGCCAAGGCAACAGGTCCATATACTACAAATGCTAGCATCAAAGAAAAGATAATGTTTACTACCCTTTCATAGAGTAACAAAATCATGCCCTAAGACAAGTAAATGCACTCAAAGAGGAAAACCTATACTTTAGGCTGTCTTTTATTAATGCATTTCAAGTAAAATATGGAATAAAAGAATTCATTCAAAGGGAAGTCGAAACCTTCTAAAATGCTAGTTTTCGACATCGCTATGTTGTGCCACGGTATCAACAAAGTCCCATTGTCTTAAGAGATGAATCTTGACAAAGTAGCATGCTCTTTTCAAAAGGAGACACAATTCCATTGCTCCGAATGAACTTTTAAGTTAAGTATCGAAAGAAAATCTTGAAAATCATTTGTGTTGCTGAATTTTGTTATTTACTTACATCTAAAAAACAAGCTTTCATCTGCTGCAAGCAAGTTTCTAGAACCTCTGTCTTTCTCTTGGTTCCCATGCTAACAGCTTTCATATCACATTCCATCATAGCACGGAGATATGGTTTCCATAGTTCATAACTGTAATAGAAAAACAAAAGAATAAAAGGTTGCAAGTTACTTAAATGTTGTAAGCAGTAATGTAGTATAAAATGTTAGCACATATGCAACAACATAATCATGCTTAAAAAGAAAATGTGAAGATTTCTAACATGAACAAATGTTTACTCAAACATAAAGCTAATATAGTGGGAAATATACCATCAATTTGTTAGTTCAGATAACATTTTTGAAAAGAAATATGCTCATTGAATAGCTTGTGCAATAATGTGTTGAGGTTTTAACAGTCTAATAAATGGTTTTCTAGAAAGCTCTCTACTTCCTCTAACACTGAGGCAAAAGGTGACCTTGCTCTTTGTTTTTTATGGATCATAAGTAGGAAGTTGTGTTCTGTAGGTCTTTCTGCCTCAACAAATATGAGAAGAAAACAGTTGTTCTTATCAAAAAAATTGGGCTAAGAGAACAATTCCATATAGCTTTAACTCATAGTGAGACATAGAGCTAGTGAAATCTCTTTGCTTTTTGTCAAGGATGTTTGACCATCAATTCTTTAAGTCCGCATAATGCTGCTACTATTCAAGTTGGAAAGGAAGTTGAAAAACCTTGACAGATATAAAAAAGCTCACCAAACCACAAACTGAAAAACGCTCACCCGACCATATATCAATTCAATTGTGGGATTTTAGCACTTCTAATGTTGTAGTTCTAATTCAAAAGCCTAATGAATGAAACAGTTAGATAACTTGCGAGTTTTTTCACAAGATCACATAAAAAGAGTTTGGGGAAGGAAAGGGAGAACAACAACAACAACAACAACCCAGTATAATCCCACAAGTGGGGTCTGGGGAGGGTAATATGTACGCAGACCTTACCCCTACCCCGAAGGGTAGAGAGGCTGTTTCCAGGAGACCCTCGGAAAGGGAGAACGTCCTAATCAATTGAATCACCTTTTTATCGCGACATGCATCATCTCAACCAATCAATCCCCAATGTTTTTGAGAGCATGAAGCGGAAAAAAAACGACAAGGGCACGAAAATCCCATTAAATTAACAACTGGAAAAAAAATAGAATAATATAAAAATTCAATTAAATTAACAAAGGGAAGAAAAACAGAGCACCTAGAAAAAAACAATAGAGCACATGTAAAAAATACCAAGAGAAGGAGACAAATAAGTAAATAAATTCAATTAATTAAAAAACTGAAAAGGGGAATAGAAATAATTTAAAATTTCAATTACTAAATTAACAAAGTAAAAGAAAAAAGACAAATCGATGCACATATCATCAGCAGAAGAAGAAGTACAAGAGGGGGAGCATAAAGCCACAACCCTAGCTGCAGTCGCACAAGAAAGTCACTTGAGAAATCTTTTGGTACAAGTTTAGATTTTTTTTCTTAAAAAGTCCAGTGTTTTCTTTCTCGCTGCACACGCTTCTTGCTTTTTAGGCAGAAGCGAGTGCTTCACAAAACCTGATTCGCCTCAACTCTCTTAAGCACAACAGAGGCCACGTTGCTTCGCTTCACGCTTAAAGCGCTGAAGCGCTCAATATCCGCACCAATGTTAATGCCTACCTTAATTGTTACCTTACATCTGATGAAATACAATCTGCATTAGCATACCACAACTCAGCAGATTGGGATTAGTCAGAATTAGTTAGATTGATTCTTTCCGGTAATTAGGTGGTCGGAATATTTTCTTTCCTATTTTATCACTTGTACGTTCACTAATAAACCCAGTAGCTTGAGCTAATAATCAAGCTGAGTTTCATTAAATTTTCTCTTCGTTGTCTTATTTTACATGGTATCAAAGCCCTTGTGTAAAAACTCTTATTGTGCAATCACCGGCAACATTAGGAAGGAGGAAAAGTTCATCGTCGTGTTGTTTCTAGTGACCAGAGAAGTCGTCCGACTCAACTTTAATTTTTGGCAATGTTGTGTTAAAAGCAAGACTACCACTAGGCTCATAACTACTGTCATATATGCCTCCACGCACCATCAAAATCTAGAGTTTTTTCGCTATCGCGTCAGCACAAGTCTCTTGCGTGTGCGGTTGTCTCCGACAAGATCTCCTTGAACTTCTTTTGTTGTCTCGTCTCCTCATTCCACCCCTACCCGTCCAAGTTTATGAAGATTCCGAGACTAGGGTTCCAACGAGGCTTAAATAACTTTTGTTGTTCATTTTTCACTTTTCCGACAACTTTCCAAAGGCTGGTTTCTGATCCTTGGGGTTGCCTAGACATTACGTGGTCAACCGCTCTATGTTTGGCCACTTTCAATAACTTTTCTAAGCTTTTTCAGTGCTTTTACACAATTTTCGTCACCAGAACCCTATTTTGGTATTGTTAGACCATTTTTGTAGCCAAATTTGCATAATACAGACCTATCTCCATTATTTTTTTAGCATTGACCAGCTCGACTAGGACTTTGGAGTTCCTTACCAGTTCCTAAGAATATTCCTACGACGTTTCCGGCAGGTTTCAAATTCAACAATAGTGACCATGATCTTTTGGCAACAATATTCAAATTTTTTCATTATTTGAGTTGATTTGGCACTTTCCTAGGATTTGAGAAATTTGGTTGCGCCAAAATCAAATCCAATATGTTGAATGGTCGGATGGTTTCTTTGCCTAATTATATTGAAATCCTTCAGCAAAAAATACGTAAGGAGACATCCTCTAAGATAGCTCCTATCATTCTTATAAGAAATAGTGCAACAGATGTCTCTCAGTCTTCGGGTCATTGATTCAGGTGCATCAGATCACATTTCTAGTAATAAATCTCTTCTGATAAATCCCTTTTCTCTAGTTCTTGTTCTCAATCTTATCAAACAGTCACATTGGCTAATGGATCGAAGACCATGGCTATTGGAATAGGTTAAGCTAGCCCACTTCCTTCCTTCACTTCAATTCAGTTCTTGGTTGTTCTTTTAATCTCATATGCATTAGCTGTTTATCCTAAACACCAATGTGGTAAAGAGCGTAAAGCGAGCAAAAGCGACAAGCCCCTTTTCGCTTAAAGTGTGAAGCGAGAAGCGAAGCACTCGCTTTTTTGAAGTGAAGCGCAATTTTTAAAAGAATATTAAAATAAATATTGAAACAAAAAAAGGCAGTAAGAACTAAGAAGAACTGAAACAAAAAGGAAGGCAGTAAGTAAGAAAAAAATTGGGCAACATTTCTGCAATTTAAGACTAAAACAGCGAAAGAAAAAGAAGAAGAAGAGAATGAGAAAAGAAGAACTGAAGGGAAAAAAAATTGGCAGCATTTCGCTGCTATTTTGAGGCCGAAGAAGAAGAAGAATGGGAAATCACATAGCCCCTAGGGCCTAGCTCAAGTGGAAAAGGGTGGTGGATTTGTGTCTTAGGTCACAGGTTCAAGCCCCCACACCATGCAAAGCAAAGCCTGGTATTTAAGTGGAGAAGGATAGAGGGGCGGGCCCATTATCCACCGAGTTTCGAAGGCTGCGGTTGGTCCAAAGGATCGGCCCCAGACGGATTTCTCGGTCATCCAAAAAAAAAAGAATGGGAAATCACATACCTGGGCTTGAACTTAATGAAATTGAACTTGAAAATTGCTGAAAATGGGAACCCTATTCGTCGTTTTTCTCTGCTGCTAGATGATGTTTTGAAAAAAGACAGTTTTTTATTTAATTAACGTTGGCAGCCACTTAATATAGTGAAGCACTTGCTACTGTCGCTTCTCGCTTCAGTCGCGCTTCTCGCTTTTTTGGCAGAAGCACAAGCTTCATATCACCTGCTACGCTTCACAACACAGAAGCGACCATGTGCCCGCCTCGCTTCGCTTCGCTTCGCGCTTTAAGCGCTGAAGGGAGCGCTTTTCACAATACTGCTAAACACTGAACTACTCAATAATACTCTTCATTAACTTTGTCATTATACAAGAATGCAGTACATGATGGATCACTAGGAGCGTGCGTAAATCATATGGACTTTATTACATTATCCTTTTGAATCATTCATAGCTTCTCCTCCCTCCACAATTGTTCAGTTATTGATTCACTTGATCTGTTACATAGACAGTTGGAACATCCTAGTTTGTAAAAACTTCAAAAAGTATGTCTCTCGTGTCAACTAATGAAAGTATACTTGCTTCCCTTTCCCTCGATATATTGATAATTAGGCAGAATCACCTTTTACTTTAGTTCATTCCGATGTTTAGGCCCTAATGAGGTTAGTTCTACCCGGAGATTCCGCTAAATTGTCGGTTTCATTGATGATTATTCCAAGTGAAATTGGATATTGTTGATGAAAAATTGATTATAGTTGTTTTCTAGATTATAGAATTTCCACGCTGAAATCCAAAATCGATATTTTTATCCGCACATTTCATAGTGATTAATGACCAAGATATTTATCTTCTCCATTTCAGCCGTTCATGAATTCTTATGGATCATTCATGATACATCTTATCTTTACACATCTCAACAAAATGTAGTTGAGAAGACGAATAGCCATCCCATTGAGATTGCTTGTACCCTACTCATACAATCCATGTTCCATTGCATTTTTTAGGGATGAAATTCTCCCATCTTGTTGTCTTATTAGTTATATGTCTTCCTCAACTATCCAGAAACAAGTCCCACACTCTATTTTGTTCTTTCCTACCACTTCTCCTTCTCGAATCCCTACCAAATTCAAAATGCCCACCACCCAACCTCTCTTTTCTTAACATTACGAGGGGCTTAGTCATAAATTCAGACACCAACCTCCTCTCAACGTCTCCCCAAGTCCTATTTCGCCCCCTCATCCACCCTCCCAGTCATCTCCTCCCTCCTTCCCCACACTATCAGCACNCCCAAACCATGAACATAGAATCTTCCCCCTTCTTCACAAGCACCGTAACCGTGCCCATATCCGCCAAATTACAATATGCAACCACAAAATCTCCACAAACATCTCCAATTGTTCTACAAAGCTCATAGCATCAGAAGTGTGCCAGCAGGCCAACCACATTCACGACTGACGTTTCTTCTTCTTGTCTGAAATTGAAAAACAGAAGATAATTTTCTCCCATCCATATTGTTCCATCGCCCAAGACACGCAAGGCTTCCTCTTCAGTGACAAATCGAAAGAGAAAAGAAGACTCGCCCATAGCTAATACTTTCAACCCCGCCAACACTTCCCGAGCCTCCGTTGCCTAGTCAGTGACTAGCCCCATCGAGCCCAACGTAGTTTCAAATTTACCAACCAAGTGGATCTGAAGAAACTCCTTTTTGCCACAACGTGTGATCTCGAGACAATGTTAAAGTGGGTTCGTGCCCATTCCCCTCCCTTCTACAAGCCCCTTCGAAAGTCAGCGCTGGCCACACTAAAGTCTTCTTGTACAATTGGAGTTTATGTTTCCTTGCCTCTAAAGAGAATTAGGAGTCTCTCTCTCTAGCCATCCCGATGAATTTGAGTTGTCAAGAACAATTCAATTGTAGGCGAGAAAACCCATCTGACTTTTGAGAACATGAGACGCTTTCAGAGTTGGTTGACCTTTTCTCATCGAAGTTAGGGTCGATCGAAGTCCTCTGTTTTGTGTTTTGGGAGACCTATGGAGGCAGCATTAATTTTAACATCTATTTTGAGTGACCGTTAGATAGGGCTTTAGACCATATGTGTCACTTTTTTTACAAACATTAAGGAATATCCTCATGGATACTATTATATCAATGGGATACATTAAGGACCAAAATGATCCAACCCTCATACATTAAGGGCCATTTTGGTCATTTTCTCTAATATGACGACCAACTGCACAATCATCAGAAAAGAATAAGAAAGACAACACAAAGATGACATCGAGATAAGAGTACAAGATAAACAAGTTAAATCCGAATACTCACCCCATATCATCATATCCCATAACTAGCGCCTCCCCCTGGATTTAAGAAAACTCCTTGTGAATAAATTAATTAAAAAGTGAAGAAGATGCAAAGGAAACTGCATTTGAAATAGCTGAGAAGAGAACAAATCAAGGTTATAATGGAAATAAGATTACAAACATATTGAAAGCTCAAAATAACAATTTATTTTTTCACGAGGAAAAGCAACGGGACAAGGAAAGAGGCGACGTAAGGAAAAAGTTTTTTTTCATTATCTGTAATTAGAACCACTGCTGAATCGAAAGCCTTCACATCATGTCATTGGTTCTTTGAGAGATTGGAAAGAAAGTTTTATCTGTGCATCATAGCAGCAACATAACATTTTGAGCATCAGAGTCAAACCAGAAACATTTTTTTCCAGCCATCACGGCCTACTTCCAGTAACTTTCCCATTTTGAGAAACCAGTCATAATGTGGCAGAGAACAAAGTTAAAACCAACATTCTACAAATATAGAGAAACAGCAGCACGTGACAAAAGGAGAAACAACTCGAGAGGAACTTCTTGTTACATATGATGTAACATTCAAAGTCAAAGAATCTCTCAAGTCTGCTGAACTACAAGTTATAAATGATGAAAAGTGCATATTTTTGAGTATATTTGTAGATTAATTCTTGTATGAGTCGTGGGAGATTGTTTTCGTGCCACGCACGGTTTTCGCGTCTGTTTTCGTGCCACGCACGAGATTGGACGAGCTCCCAATTCTTTCCATCTCTTTCTTTTTGTGTCAAATTGTCATCTTTTGATCATTTTTTTTCCTCTTCTCAAAAAAATGAGTCGCGGGAGATTGCATGGTTTTTGAAGTGAAATATGTTCATTATGTGTTTCTTATGTGTAGGAACGAGTTTGGATGATAAATGATCAAAAGATGACAATTTGACACAAAAAGAAAGAGATGGAAAGAATTGGGAGCTCGTCCAATCTCGTGCGTGGCACGAAAACAGACGCGAAACAGGAGAAAACTGAAGGTACAAAACAGCGAAGTGAAGCAAAGGCACGGATCGCTTTGCGAACTGGAAAAATTGCAAAAGCTGAGTTCGCGTCTATGGGCGCTCGACGCGCGAAGGCAGACGCGGATTCCAGCTCTCCTATTCGAGATTTAGATTGTATTGGACGGCCCTCCACCCTACCTGGTCATATAAATACATCCTAAAACAAAAACTTTAGAGGAGCAGACACTACTGTAGAGTTATACAACACCTTTGGAGGCAAGAATACACTAGGAGCAAGGAGGAAGATTCAACCACGAGTTTTTCCTTTCTTCTTCCTGTTTTCTATTGTTGGTTATGAATTTTAGTATTGTATTTTCACATACTACTATGAGTAGCTAATTTATTATTTAGGGTTTTGATGGAACCACTTGGAGGATGAATTCTTGTTAAGTTTGAATATAATATAGCCTTTGAATTTCTTTACTTGTTCAACTACGTGCTTATTTTTGTTGATTGAATGGTCATCAATTGACTATACTTATTTATTATGTATTGCTTGGGAAAGGGTACATATTTAGGTAGTTGTTGAACAACGTCACTCCTAACGTATATGAGGAATCAATACGGCAGGTTTAAAGGTGGGATTAGGAATAACAAAGTCTTGGCGTGGTCATAGTGAGAGGTAAGATAGTGCCAGCGAGCGTAGTTCGGGAGAATATGTCTAGTAAATTATTGTAGTTGTTCGGGAGATAACTACGACACCTGAAGGGCTCACGATCAGTAGAGAATAATTAGGCGAAATTATAGGAGACGTAGCGGGAAGGATTCCGCAATTGGAAAAACCATAACTCTAGATCTCCTTAATCTTATCTCCAACCCTTAGTATCTTTAGTTGTTAATTTACTATTTTAAATTTTTTAGTTAATTAGTTAGACATAAGAATCTTAATATTTATAACTTAGGAATTGTTCGAGCTTGTTTTCTTGGTGACAGTGAACAGTTGTAGCTAAACCTTAGTTGTCTATGGGATTCGACTCCGGACTTTTAGACCAGATTATATTTGCAGCGACCGCTTATCCTTTTTAGGACTAGAGTTGGGCGTGATCAACAAGTATTGTGTTTAACCATGAAGCAGCAAATAGGTGACTGCCTTCATCACTCAAGCAATTACACCTTCAATAAAGATACTAGGGGAGATGTATAATTCGTGTAGGTAAAAATGAGGCTTCCAGAAAATGAAAAGATTTAGGTAAAGACCAAGCAGATCTAATGGTAAATTACCACGAATGGAAACAAGTCAGCTTGTAGAGGAAGAAGCATTTGGTGGTCACCAGACTAACAATTGATTAGAAAGAATTCCGATAAAATGTATAATACAAAACTTGGATGGTGACATGCACATGAATGTAGTTTGTGAAACTCCAGTTATGCTTTGTAATAGCATGCTATTTTGTATTTCAAATGGGCAAAGAATAATGTCGTTGGATACCACATTGTCCTGAAACAGGCACCTGCAGCATGTAATTCAAACCTCTAATGCAAAACCAGTAAGGGGTTGATCATTTCTTTACCAGTGCAATTTAAGGGAGGAGTGGTACCAGTAAAAGTAGGAACATAATGACACGTACTGAATGCATGATTGCTGCTGAATGAGAAAGCTGAACCTCCAAAATTTGACACTCTTCTTACTATGGACACTAAAATGGCATCTAATTCCACCAATTGATACTTCTATAGAAGCTCTCATAAAAAGGAAGGGCAAAGTTCTTCAAGAAAACACTGAAGGGGAAACATGCAATTACCATATTTAATGTATCCATTATCCGATGTAAATCTTACTATGCTTATACCAAATTTTCATTTCCAAGCAAAGCAATATATGCAAATGTGAAAAAGGGAAATGGAAGAAGGAATAAAGGAAAAGAAGAAATACACATAAGATAATAAATAATCTGACTGAGTAAAGAGATTACTAGTTTAGTTGGCGAGAACCGAGTGCTCGAGTCTTTAATTGCATAAAATCGATCAAGTAGTTTCTTTATATGGTCATGCATTGTTGCATCAGTTCCAATGCCAGCCTATTAGAAAAACCAATAAGGAAATAAATGAAAATCCCTGTGATCATTACCTGGGAGACCTATAAAACTGAAGGTCAGACACATGAGGAGACACTGTTTATCACGTGGTTAGAGCTTTTTGAACAAAAAAAGAAAAAAACTAGCATAACAGAACCCATACCTTGTCCATACAACCCAATAGATCAGCCTCACTTAAAAGGGGAGGAGGTCTAGTAACTCCTGAATCAAGGGTCAAACTTCTTGGTATAAACTGCACTTTACAACAGCAAACAGGTATGTGTTAAAGCATCTTCCAGGAAGACAACAGAAGATAATCCACAAAACAAAATAAGTCAATTCTTCACATATCCTCTTCTTTTTCTAGAATGCATGTTTATTATCTGATGCTAGGGAAAATTTCTAATATGATCTCTCAACAAGGAAGGTTGTATTTGCAAATATGATCGAAATATAGAGCATTATGATGCTGGCAGAAATGGATTGTCACAATGAAATCAAAGATAGAAAAGGAAATGATTCGGGAGACGAACAATTGTTCTACCACAGAAGATCTAGAGATGAATGTCCAGAAATAAAAAAGGAAAAGCTACACGCCCATCTTATCAAGAACTATAGTAAATCAATGCATCCACCAGAAATTGATTCCACATGCAGCATCTGTCCTAGCTAATTAACCATCATAACTCCGTTAATTGGTGAAAGAATTGGCCACGAGGCTTTTGGTTGTTTCAGCTGGTTGAATTAACAAGCATGCATACTGTGAGCTGTAACACTATGAGAATTCCAGGACGCACGATATATACACAACAGAGTTTGAAAGAGAGAAAAATACACTCCCTCCGTTTCAATTTATGTGACACACTTTCCTTATTAGTCTATTCCAAAAAGAATGAGACATTTCTACATTTAAAACTAACTTTTTATACTTTATGTTTTACCTATTTTACCCTTAATGAAAAAAATTTATAGCCATACAAATTATTTGACCCACAAAGTTTTTACCCTATAACCTTTTACGACCACAAGTTCCAAAAGTTTTTTTTTTCTTAAATCCTGTGCTGAGTCAAGCTACATCCGAGGGAGTAATTCTTTGGAAATATGACATCAATTCATTCTAGCATTCAAGCACCGTAGAAATGTTCCCTTACAAGAAAGAGCTATACGGCAAATTAAAGATAAAATTCAGCAAGCTGCAATATCAATAATGGATAGTCAGTACCTAGATAAAATATTTCGGGGGTCATTCCCACAGCTTCACAGTAGCAATTGTTGATTGGCTTAATTATTAGTAAAAATTTGATTCTGATTGAGAAAGAATTTGATTGATTGTAAATTGATTGTAATTTATCTTCCTTTCTAAAATAGTCATAGGACCTAGTGTATAGATACATTTGCATAGGAATGTAAGAAACATACAGAAATACAAGAAACTTTTTCTTCCACTCAAAAGCTACATGGTATCAAAGCCATTGTTGCTTTTTTGAGGTGAGTTATCTCCCTCGTAGCATTAGGGTTTTGTTTTTATCAAAGAGGTCGAGTTTTCTCTCTCTTGGTGACCATCCGCAACACAAACTCCTTGTGGTCGGTTTTTTTGGAATTTTCTTTTCTGTTGGGGTCGCTGGAACATTCCAAGCTTATCCCTACTAGTTTTGATTTTTCCGTTCACCGGAGTTAAGGTTCCGTCAAGACAGATTTGGTTTCTGGCATGGCAGATAATTTTTTGAGCAATTTTCTTTTTTTCTGATTGGGCAGAAAATATGAAGACATTCAAGGAGATGGTTTCTGGAGAAACCTTGTCCTCAGATGAAATTCAGCTACTGTGTCGCCTGTTAGCCAAACTTAACCCCACTAGTGTTGCCACCTTCATTCATGTACAATCATGTACTACCTTTGCTGCTCACTTTAATTCTTGGATTGTTAATTCTGCTGCAAATAGACACCTTCTAAAGGCATTCAAAACTATTCTCCCTATCTCAAAGGAGACAATGTTAAAATAGCCAATGGTTCTTTTATCTGTCTTTTTTTT